ACACCTTGTTAGACTTTTCGAAAACTGACCTTCCACTGAAGAAGGAAAGTCAAAAGTCACTTTGTTGCTTTCCCAAGATTCCCAGCTTCTACCAGGTGAAATTGCTCTCCGAGAGGCAGTTTCATCAAAGAAACGATCCCACCAAACTATTGGAACTCTTAAAAACCCAGCCGACTCTCCTGTGTGGTTGCCGGTTACTCTCCTCTGAGTGGTAAGACATGCTTACGTTTCTGTGGAGTCCCTGTAACTGAGCTGTCTGGGTGATATGCCCCCCAGTGCCCGGCAAGGGGATGGCTTAATTCTGGGATGTTGCTCCCTTGTTTATACCCAAATGCCGACCTCCACAGCATTGCCTTAATAATCATAACCATATACCACATTAATTGGTGCCCAATTAAGTGAACTAAACACAATGTAGAACTCATCATGAGACTTAGTACCCTTCCTATTATTAACCTTGGAAAGGACTCATGTGATTTTAACAGGAACCTGTTTGGCACTAGGGTTGTCTGAAAAAGAATCTTTGTTCAGTCCAAATTCTTCGGCAATTAGGTCATTTGCTTTTGGCATGAGTTTGGCCTGAGAAAGAGTTCTATGAATAGGGCAGGGCAGACTCAGCTTTGGAGAGCGCCAAGCTCACATAGTTTGAGGCAAACTCATCAAGAACGAATAATAAGGGGCTCCTGGGTGGCTCAGGCGTTAGGCGTCTGCCTTCCGCTCAGTGTCCTGGGATGGAGCCCTGCATCGGGGTCCCTGCTTCTCCTTCCCCCACTCCTCTTGCTGGTGTTCCCTCTCTCACTGTGTCCGTCTCTGTCAAATAAATAAATAAAATTTTTTAAAAATGATAATAAAATTTCAAATGGCTTCAGTTGTTCCGCTTCACAGTAAACCGCCTCTAGAGCAAGAGCGCGATCAGGTTTCCGGCAGAGGGCCTCCCGCTCAGAACACACATTTGAAGTTATTCTGGCACGTGTGGACTGGAGAGCCGCATGCTCTTCCATCTCCGGGGTCTGTATGATCCACCGCTTGAAAGGTGAATCAGACCCCGATAAAAGCAAGCGAGAGGTTCTCTGCTGAAAGTCTGGCTGCAAAGTGGGGGCCTGTGAGCCAGACCTGGTCTGCAGATGGTTTGTGGTCGTAGTGTTTTGTCTTCTTGCTCAGTGTTTCTTAAAAACATGAATTAAGCTTGTCAAACTATAAAAACCACAAAATTTCAAATAAAAAGCTGATTTTTTTTTCTTCTCTTGAGAAACTGAAAGGCTATTCCACAGTGGACTTGGACCTGACAAAATGACTGCTTTAGAGGAGGGACATGCTTGTCCGTTGGCGCAGTCCCCACTGGCTCTCTCCATTTTCTCCTATTTCCTGCCTGACCTTGAAGCCATTCGATTCAAGGTAAGGTCCTTGTCCAGGCCCGGTGCCTCACTGGCCTCAGCGTACTCCTGCTGTGTCCCTGTTCCAATCCCTTCCGTCTCTGAATTCTAATCTCTTTGATGGCCTAATGATGTTTATATTTTTTTCTTTTAAAATAGTAGTTAGCTGTGCATCATTAATATTTACACCCCATCTTGTTAACCACATTGTTGTATAAGTCTCCTGCTTTTTTGCCTTGCCCCAGGCCTCTTTGCTTAGTTCATAAAGAATGACTTATATTTATTACAAATACCTTCGCTTTTGTGCTTGATTGCACACTTCATGTCAGCTTCTTCCCTTTTCTAAAAGTGGCATGTACTTAATTTTTTAAAAAAAATTAATAGTGGAGTAAAAATGGTCAGTTTGGGAATGTTAGGCCCCCCACTGATATCAGTGGGAAGTCCCAAGAGGACTAAGATTGAAAGCTGTCTCTGTGGACTGTGATCTCTGTGATGCGGGGGTTCTCGTCCTCCTAGTACAGACCTCTCTTCTCCCCAGTGTCTGTACTGTAATACATTGCACAGGCCATATTCAGACGTTCATATTGGACCTCTACACTACTGTTCACTAAGTGTTGGCTTCTGCATAAACTCCTTGGGATTTTACAGGAAAATTAAAAGGAAAAAAATGTGATGGGATTAATTGTTGATGGATACCCAAAATCCTTTTTTTTTTTTTTTTTAGATTTTTTTTTTTTTAAATTTGACACAGAGAGAGAGAGATCACAAGTAGGCGGAGAGGCAGGCAGAGAGAGAGGAGGAAGCAGGCTCCCCACTGAGCAGAGAGCCCGATGCGGGGCTCGATCCCAGGACCCTGGGATCACGACCTGAGCCGAAGGCAGAGGCTTTAACCCACTGAGCCACCCAGGCGCCCCCAAAATCCTTTTTGAAAAAAAGGCATAGTATATCACTCAGGATTGCAAGCAACAGAAGCATACTACCAGTTCATAAATGATGTAGTTAGCCAACAGGCAAGTACCGAATAGAGTGTCTTTGAGAAAAGTCTCCATTTACTTGGGGGAAAAAAATGTTTGTTTTTTCGTTTTTTGTGGTTTTTGGTTTGTTGGTTTGTTTTTCCTGTATAATTCCACTGCCTTTAGATTCAAGTTTGAAGAAAAGTCCTGTTTGGGGGGGCATTAAATTTCCACTCAAAAAAACCCCCAAAACAACAACAACAACAACAACAAAAAGCCACAAAAACTATGAAAACAGTTTGAAAAAATTAACTCCCAGTAATTCGTTACTTCAAATTAACACACAGCCTATATAGTTGGAAAAAGAAAAGGTTTTTGGATATATATTTTATTTGACAGTGTTTTAGAATATCATACAGTAAACAAGATTTCTGTAAAAGTTAATTTATCCATAGTGGTGCGTTTCATAAAAATAGTTGCTCACTTACAGTCTTTCTGTGACTATTAATACATGGAATTATATTTATAGAGATACAGCTGTACAAGGTAAATTCACAGCTAACACTACACAGAAATATTATTTGGAATGGGATTTAGATGATGTGCTGTCTTCACAGGTTATGGATTACAGCCGCATAAAGCAATTACTGCACAAGTAGTAGCTGTGAACTGTGCAAATTAGAGTTTATGCAAGCGTAATCTCAACTTTTTTATCCTTTTGTAACACATGAAAAATAAAGGTCAGAGGATACAGTACCGGGACGTGCAGCTACACTACAGAAGCATTGTCCAAAACCAGATTCAATAAATTAATGGCAAACTACACTGGATTTCTAGTCCAGGGGAGAAAGACTAATTGAGATTAAACCAAAAAGTACTGTAAACTGCTACATGTGTTTGTGCTTTTGTTTATGATGAATGGATTCCATTTTTGGCAATTGCTTTTACAGGCTGCAAGATTCTTCACTTGAGGCTTTCGACCATATTCTCCTCTTGTCAAACAACTGAACTACTCCTATGCCTGATGGAAATTAAATGGCTAGTGTTCAGGTTACTGCAATTTACAGAGATGGAAAGTCAGCGGAGGGAAGCTATTATGTGTGACCTTGGGTGATGGACCTGATCTCCTGTTCTACTTATTTGACTACAAGTTCAGGGAGGTGAGGCTTATTTGCATTTGAACTCCTGTAAGGGCCAGTATCTGGGAAGGATGAAGGCTCATTCATTCAGGACAAATTAAAAAAGAAACTGCCCTCAGAAACAGTTTGCCTTTTAATATGTGTAGCTACAAATAAGTACCAATGGATAATTAACTGAAGGTAACATTTTACAAAGGAATATTAAAAGGGCAGGGAAGAAAGGCAAGCCTTAGTATTCTGCCAGGGGATCAACCATAGATCAATGAAGATAAACAGAAACATCTAGAAGCTGCTAAGGAAATTTAAAAACGGCAAAGACTACAAAGACAAAAAAGCAAACCAAATGAAAATAAAAGGAGAAAGAATAAGGTAAGAATAAAGTAGAAAAGAATGCTAAAAGGCTCACGTTCTTTTATGAAAATAAATTGGCCATTGTATGATTTTTGAATATTAGGGATCCATTATAATCTGAGAAATACAGGAGAAACACTTTGCCTCTGCTCTATCAAAGTGAAAATGAAATACTGGAAAGGGGGTTTTAAAAAAGACAATAAAATAAGTGAAATAGAACACTGCTGTCAAAGAAGCTACTATCTTTGCTAGCCTGAGACAATAGGAAAGCCTCTTCATAAAGAAACTGCAGCCTTGCCAATCTTGATTAAACAAATTGTGGTCCTTCAATTATAAAATGCATATTTTAGATGAAAACCAATTAAGATCTATGAGCTAAACTGCAAAATTCTGACTTATGGCAATCTGTTCCCTAAGATACAATTTTTTTAAACCTTTTTTTTCTACCACTGAAAATGTACAGAAATATGATTTGATCACAGAAATGGCAGTAAAAATGGCATCACACCAATGAATTCACTAGATTTCTAACTCGTCCTGCGGTATGCAGGGAACGTTGCTGCTAATACCGTGATGGATGCCACGGGTGAGCCATGGAAACATGTCATGGGCGAACAGTTCCGAATGTTTCAAAGAAACCTTTTAACCCCTGTCTAGATATGTCGAGAACAATTTATTTACAACTCTTTAGATCAATTAAAAGATATAATCTTGTCTCAGTTTCAGCTTGCTCCGTGCAGTTTGATTTTTAAGGCGATATTCCAGTTTGTGATTGCTCTTAACTTGTCCAGTTTCTTGGTATTAGAGTTTGGATAGCATCCAAATCCTTCATGCAGTGGGGGTAAAATTTTTTTTTCTCTTTCTTTTTAATTTTTTTTTCTTTTAAACTAAAGCTACACTGCACTGTCTCTCTGTGATGTTCTTCACGTTATTTTGGTTCTTCCATAGCTGCCAAAGCCCCCACAATGGAACCGAGGGCTTTAGGATCAGTTTAGGTCTGCGCGTGGACGCCGTGCCGCCCATGCTCGCTGGACACGTGGGACTTCACATCGATGCTCCCAGGCCTTGGTGCCTCGTGGATCTATGCGTGTGACAGTGAAAATAAATTAAAACGCCGTGAGACGGAACCTAAGAAGAACGGCCTGCAGGCGTCGAGGCGGGGCGGCGGGCTGCTGCCGCGCGGCTCATCTGCCCGCAGCCGAGGCGCCCGGCTTGAGGACGCCCGGCAGCTTGTCGGAGCCGGGCACTTTCCAAGGCCCGGGCGCCACGGCGGCCTTGCGCGTGGGGGCGCCCCCCGGGGGCCGCGCGCCCTGCCGGGGCCCCGCGCGCGCGCCCGCCCTGCCCTCCGCCTCCCGCGCGCGGGCGCTCCGGCGCCACCGCCACGGCCCGGGCCCGCGAACGCGGGCGCAGCCCCGGGGCCTTCGCGCCGGCCGAGCTCGGGGCCCGCCGAAGTGCGGGGCCCCTCCTTCCCGCCGGCCCGCGCCGCGTCCGCCGCGTCCGCCGCCGCGGGCCCGGGCGCCCTGGCCTCCGAGGAGGACCTGCCGGTCTCCCGCCCCTGGCCGCCGGGCGCGTCCTCGAGCCTCGGCCGAGCGGCCCTGTGCGGGCTCGCCGAGCGCTCCCTCTGCTCCCCGAGGCGCTGCTTCTTCTGGCCGCCGGTTGAAAGCTCCTTTGGTTTCCTAACGTCGTGTTCCCTTTTGATATCCCAAGTTGGGTCTGGGCCTATCTGGTGGGAAGGGTCGGAGGGTGGGGCTGGATGTGATGGAGAGAATGGAGAGAGGACGTCCTCGAGGGAGACGCCTACTTCCGGCAGACCTGGGGAGGCGGCAGCGGGTGAACTCCAGGAGTTGGGTTCGTCTGTGGGACAGGAAGCACAGGCGTTAGGAGCCGCGCCGCGCAGCCCTTGCACGCTCCCGCGACCCCTCGCTACCGTAGGGACGAGAGCAGGCGGCCAGGGGCGACTGCTTTCAAGGTCCCGAGCCATCGCCACTCCCACCCTCACTGCCAACAGGGCAGCCCGTCCCCCCGTGGGGGCGGTGCTGTGTCCCACCCGCCCAGACTTATTTACCCCACCTCCTTCCCTCGCTGATGAATCAGGATGGGCATTGCTAAGGCGGGGCCTAATCTATCCCTTCGCCTTGGCCCTTACTAACTCCCTGGGGTGTCTTCAGATCTGACAGCCCAGTGTGGTATCTAGCTTTGCAGCACCTGAATCAGTGGTTCTCAAACTCCACGTCGGAGTCACCTGGGGTTGGTTGTGAAAAATACAGATTCCCCGGGGGCGACTTGCAGAGATTTCAGGAGCTTGGGGGGGGGGGGGGGGGGCCAAGAATTCCCCTGCATTTTTACCAGGCACCCCGCTGACTCTGAAGGTAGTCCAAGAACTGAGTTGAGAAACATTGGTCTGAGTCCTCTGGAAGAAGTTGGGACAGTGACTTTCAACCATTAGGTGTCACTCAAAGCATAATCACCACCAGATAGTCTCAGAATTTGGATAAAGTCATCAAAAAACATTTACTCTTGTCTTTTGGAAATCATTGTCCTTAATTCTTTTCGGTAGTTCTGACATGATAGCAGGGCCAGACTAAGATAAATGATTCTTTTTAGGAAGCCTAGTTTCAACATTTATTTGGGGTTTCAAATCTCCCTACTTCGAGAAAGGATTTGAGACAATGTACAACGAAACACAAAAGAGAATGATAAAAATGAGAATTTTTTTTTTAAAGCTAGTCAGAAGCCAAGTAGGAGGACAGACGTGTTAGGAATCTGAGATGAGTTAGTGACTACTATGAGCACTGACGTGACCCTTGAGCTTCTAGCTATTAAATCAAAATTAAAGCAGGAAAACCCAATAAAGTAATCCCTTGATATTTGTAAGAAATATGTCCCAAGACCTTCGGAAATCCTCAAATTTTGAAATAGCTTTCTAGAGTATCAGTTCTCTTCACAGAGCATATGCTCATGAGTAGGAACAAAGAAACCACACTGATGTCTGAATGCTGGGTGGCAGGAGAGGCTCCTCACCAGCTGAGAGACTCAGCCCCACACACCAGCCTCAGTGTCTGTGAATCAGTTCCTGCCACTGTAACATTATATGTCACAATTAGAGGCCCTTATTCAGACTCAATCCGCGAAAGTTTAAAATTTGAGGATGCTTATTTAGTACTTTTGATGCTAATTTATAATGCGATAAGGAGAGGAAGAAGGCAGTGGGGTTGATAGTTCCAAAAATTCTGGGCCACCTGTACAATAGCAAATCAATTATAAAAAGTTCCTCCTTTGATGTGATATTTGATGGGAGTATTTAGGGCTCAGTGTTCTCTTCCTTCTTTTCAGAGCTATATCTATTATCATGTTCACATAGTGAGTAAAAAGTCCTGGAAAAGCATTAGAAGACCTGGAATCCAATCCTGCCTCTGGCATTTACCAAGATGTGATTTTGGATCAACTACTTGATCTCTCTGAGCCTCATTTTCTCCTTTTATAAGGTGAGGATGAAATGTTTACCTTGTAGAGATAAGACACGCACTTTCAAAGGGAAAAGCACTTTGCAATGGGAGGATTATAACGATTTTTTACAAATAGTTGAGTCAGATTTCTCTTCTGAGTCCCACCAGCTGCCCCCACTAACTAGCATACTTGTAGGTGAGGTTTTGAGTACGTGCAGTCAATCGGCCGTTCCCATCTGCTGTGATTCCCAGGTGTGGTTTTGCTCTACCCCAGGTAGCCTTGGCTACTTCAAGGAATATTCGAAAATCCTTAAATGCAAATGTTTTTGTTGAAAATTGGAGTATGTTCTGCTTCTGACTGGGCTAGAATTTGAAAATCGAACTGTTATAGCAAATGACAGACCATGGCAACTCCTTCATGTAGGAAGATGTTGCCTGAAAGAGTTAACAGCGGTCTTCAAAAGGCCTCACTAGAGGGTAGCTGTGCTATGGTAGTCTCTAACTCGGACCATGGTAAGGCTATGTCACATTTTAGTATCTGTTCCCAACATCCCCCCCCGCCCCACCTCTGCCAATTCCATCACGGGTGGCCGAGTCAATTAGCTGGCCTTGAATTACTGTGAGATACGGGGAGGTTGATATTATTCACACCATTTCCTGAAGGAGGAACTGAAGCAGAGAGAGGTTAAGTAGTTTGACCAAGATTACAAAATGGGTCAGCCAAGAGTAAAACATTGGGTTTCTTTACTCTCTTTTACTTACTGAGAAAATTTTCCTATTGGGATGCCTTGCAAATAGGATCAAAGCGTGTGAAATGGACATGCTCAGTGGGTGCTACGGCCCAGCAGGAACCAGACCCCATCATCATGGAACAGAATGGTTAACATCTATTTCCGCACATCTTACTCGTGACAGTAAACTAGGAGGTGAAATCAGTCAAAATACAAAGATCCAGTATACTCTTATTGTAAAACGACTTCTCAAGTATTTGTTTATAGATCATTAAATTCTTAGTGGGACAAACTGAAAGCTAAAATGTCCCAGCCAGTGCCAACTGAGAGTACTAGTCAGAAGTTACAATGAGCCGGATCTATTTTTCTGCACTCTTTCCTTATTTCCCCATCCTGGTGAGCGGCAAAACCATCACCTGGAGTCATTCTCGATTCCTTTCTCTCCCTCACAGATGCGATCTGCCCGCAAGTCTTACTAGTCTTAGCTTCAAGTACATGCGGACTTTGTCAACTGAGGTTTGTCTTCCCTTTCACCACCCAAGGTCAAAACCCTGGGCAGGGCCTAGACAGATGCAACCAGCGTGGGCTGCCCAAGATAATCACAGTGAAAAGAAGGCCATAGTGTGGACATCTTTCCTAGACCCTTGGCAATACTGTTCAAGACAGAGAATTCAAAAAACGAATTTCAATGTTGTTCAGGCAGGAGAAGTTACGTGTAGGATACTGTGAACCCCACGCCTTCTCCCGAGCTCAGAGCTCAGGACAGCTAACCTGGTTACTTTACCCAAAGGATGCGCCTGCCGTGCTGCTGTTTCTCACAGGGGCAGCTCCAATAACCCACTCTTCTCTCTACTCCTGGTCTCGCCTACCTCTAACGATTCTCCACACAACACCCACAACAACCTCTTGGCGACACAAATTAGATCATGCCATTCCTTTGCTTGAAACTTACAGGGGATTCTTACTTCTATTAGATTAAAATCCACGAAAACCGGCATGATCTGGCCTCTGCCAGCCCCCTGAGCATCATCTCTATTTATCTCTATTTATTCTCTGTTCTCCACCCACACTGGTCTCCGTTCAGTTCCTGAATGTACCAAGCGCATTCTCTACTCTGGGAGGTCACTGCTGACTCTTTGGCCAAGAAGGTTCTCTGTCCGGCTCTTCATACGGTGGGTTCTTTTTTTATTCTTTAGGACTCTTAAATATCGCCCCCAATCCAAGGTAGATATTCTGCTGTCCTCAGGAGCATCTTGATTTTATCTCCTCATAGTGCTGATAATTGGTAATTACATATCTGCCCGCTTATTCAGTTGGTCTCAGTTTCAGCTACTAGATCGAAAGCTTCATGAGGGCAGTGGCCACAGTGGTCTTGTTTAGCACAGTGGGAATTCCTGCCCAGCAGAGTGTTTGACACAGTAATAAATGCTCTGGGAATACTGATGAACAGACCAATCTGTTCCACAAACAGAGACGGAAGACTTGAAACCAAATGCCTACTTGAGCGAATACTTCAGAGAAGATCTTCATTTAGAGAATAATCAGCAAAAACAGGTTTGTGTCCATGATTTCTATCAGTTTCCAGAGTGAAGATGGTGGGGAAATGCTAGTGCGAGAGGAAATAAATACACTGGGGGCAGGAGTGCAGAGGGAGGGCCCGAGCAACAGAAAGGGCACTGGGAAGAGGTCTTGGCTTTTATCAGTGGCCCCTGGGGTGGAGAGAGAGAGAGGCTCTGGATGGAAAACAGGCAGTTAAGTTCCCCTGACTTTTCACAGATGTTCTTTTCCTTGTTAATCTTCTCAGCCATGATGATGTAATGACTTTGCTTAAAGAAGCTTCACGTCTGGGGACTCATTAGTCACTGTGCCGGTGAATGTTTGGATGAACCACAGGCAAGATCCTAAATATCTCACACTCTGCTGCGGGGACAAGCAGGTCCCTGTCCTAAGTTAAGACCAGGTTTCTTCCCTTTCTTGTTGTTTCTAGCCAGTATGGATCTGCCCTAGAAAATAGGCTGATTAATACATAATAGATATTAATAGTATATCTGTACAGAAATCACACACACATATATACTATTATGTTTGAGTTGAAAGATGTATGATCTCTTGAATTATCTTGTAGGAACTCAGCAATATTGAAAAATAAAATGTAGTCTTCTATGTAATCTCGCTATGCCTGAGATTAAAAAACAAACCAAAAATCTTCATCTACTGGTGTTTCAATAGCTTGTTTCCTTATGGAATATAACTCAAGCGACAGTAACCAGAGAGGTGACCCACTAGGAATAGACTGCTTATTGTAGTAAGTGAGTATCTGCATTATTGGTTTTTCTAGGTGGCTCTTATCTCCAGCAAAAAATTGTGCAGAGGAAAATATAACTGGAATCAAGGAAGAGTTCACTTTATCTTGTGCTGAAGGGTGAGGGAGACGGTTAGAAGGGAGCCCTGCAGGGGAAGGAGGGCCTGTCTCCCACCCCACACCTCACCTAATAGCCCTGGGGCTTTCAGCTCTGGGCTGTCGGGTCCCCCAAGGCTCTGCACTTCTCTCCTCCTCCTAGTACAGGGCTGGGACACAGAGCCTAAAGGCTGCCTTCTGGATAAGGGTGGCCAGGGAGGTAACAGTGGTATTACCAGTATTGTATGGCGAATAATGGCAACAGCTAACATCCAGTGA